TGGTGGGTGAGTGTGGTTGTCATCGCCGAAGATTTTCCTTTGTTGAATCGCGGTTAATTTTGTCCACGCACAATACTTATCTTGGCGATTGGGGTCAGCATCTTTCCGGTCTAATACGAGTGCGGCCGATAGATATATCCGTCACGTGGGTCTGATAAAAAAGCTTTTGGTGGGAAACCCTCGCCAAAAATCTCTTATCAGACCCACGTGACGAATATATCTATCGGCCGCACTCGTAGAAGCTTGATAACCTGTTCATGTCCCTCGATAGCGGCACACCCGAGTGGTGTTCGATCATTCTCATCCGGGCGATTGGGGTCGACATTTCCCCATTCAAGGAGTAGTTTAACCACCCCTTCATGTCCCTCCACAGCAGCATACCTGAGCGGCGTCCGACCATTCAGATCTCGGTGATTGGGGTCAACATCTTTCCGGTCTAGTAGTAGCTTGACGACTGCTTCGTGTGCCCCGATAGTGGCCAATCCAAGTGGTGTTTGGCCGTTCCCCTCTGGGTGGTTGGGATCGACATCATCCCGTTCCAGCGATAACCTGACGACTCCTTGATATCCGTTGCCTGCAGCAGATCCGAGTGGTGTTAGATTGTACTTATCCGCGCGATTAGGGTCAACATCTTTGTGATCCAAGAGTAATTGGACCATCCCTTCGTGCCCCGCCATAGCAGCACAATCAAGTAGTGTTCGACCATTCTTATCTGGATATTTAGGGTCGACATCTTGCCATCCCAGCAGTAGCTTGACCACTCCTTCATGTCCCATAATAGCAGCAGACCAGAGCGGCGTTTGATCTTTCTTATCCGGGCAGTTAGGGTCGACTCTATCCCGCTCTAGGAGTATCTTGACGACCCCTACACGTCCGCTCATAGCAGCACGCCTGAGTGGTGTCCGGCCAAAATTGTCCGGACGATTGGGGTCGGTGTTTTCACATCCCAGCAGTATCTTGACCACCCCCTCATGTCCGTTCCCAGCGGCACACCCGAGCGCGGTTACATCATTCTTATCTGTGTGATTGGGGTCGACATCTTTCCGGTCTAGCAGTAGCTTGACAACCCGTTGATGTCCATCGATAGCAGCACATATGAGTGGCGTTCGACCGTCCCCATCCGGGTAACTGGAGTCGACATCTTTCCGGTCCAGCAGCAGCTTGACCACCCCTTTATGTCCCTCGACGGCAGCACACCCGAGTGGCGTCCGATGATACTTATCTTGGCGATTGGGGTCCACATTTTCCCGTTCCAGTAGTAGCTTGACCACCCCTTCACGACCATTCAGAGCAGCACACCCGAGTGGTGTTCGATCATACTTATCTTGGCGATTGGGGTCGACACCTTCCCGGTCCAGGAATAGCTTGACCACCTCTTCATGTCCCTCGATAGCAGCACACCTGAGTGGTTCGATCATTCTCATCCGGGCGATTGGGGTCGACATTTCCCCGTTCAAGGAGTAGTTTAACCACCCCTTCATGTCCCTTAACAGCAGCGCATCCGAGCGGTGTTCGATTATTCTGATCTTGGTGATTTGAGTCGACATTTTCCAGCTCCAGGAATAGTTTGACCACCCCTTCATGTCCCTTCATAGCAGCGCGCCCAAGCGGTGTTCGACCATCTACATCTAGGCGACTGGGGTCGACATCATCCCGCTCCAGCAATAGCTTGACCACGCCCTCACGTCCACTTCCGGCAGCACATCCAAGTGGTGTTAGATCATACTTGTCTGTGCGGTTGGGGTCGACATCTTCCCGGCCAAGTAGCAGGTTGACAATTGTTTCATGTCCCTCAACAGCGGCCTACCCGAGTGCCGTTCGGTCCTCCACATCTGGGCGATTAGGGTCAACATCTCCCCGCTCCAGTAGCAACTTAACCACTTCTTCACGCCCACTCCAAGCAGCCCATAAGAATGGTGTACTACCTTTCCAATCTCCTTGGTTGATTGCGCAGTCTCCCGCATTTAACAACGTACTCACAAGTTCAACAATCCCAAAGTAACATACGCAGTGTAGTCCAGAGAAGAGTGGTGCACTAACATCTCCGATATAATTGGGGCCCAGGACTTGCTTTAAAAGTGATAACGCGGATACGTGGTCTTCGTAATGGTTCAAGTGCTCCAGAGCAAGGGTCCTCCCGTAGTCTGAAAGTTCTTTACTCACATGTGTTCCCCAATATCTCGAAGAGTATTTGAGGAATGGCGCTCTCCGGTGGTCCGGGAGAGGGTGGGCCGGGAGGCTCTTGAGTTGCTCCGAGTTCAGGTAAGTTAAGCAGACTTCTGCAATCATCGAGTGGGGTTTATTGAAGAGGTCTGATTGAGCGCATAGATACTCCTGCACGGTAAAGTGGATTAACCGCACAGTTGACGCTTCCTTATCAACTGCGATCAGGCCTTGGCAACAGTCAAGCAATGTAGTTATCGAAGGGATATTTTCAGGGTCGAAATCTGTCGATCCTATCTCCACCGCTAGGGCATGGCACAGCTCATCCACCTGTAAGGGCCGCTCAGAATGGCAGATCCATGTGAGTGTGGCTATCGCAAGTTCTTTCTTTTCCCCGTCCTGTGCCCTTATCCGCTCCAGGGTCACACCATATGCATCCCGTAATCCTGCCCCATCTTTCACCGATTTGAGCCTTTTCCCCCGGCGAGCGACAGTGGTTTCTCGTATCGTAGAATAGCCTCAATATAGAAAGAAGCTAGTAGGAACCTAACTTCACATGTCAGCCATTAACCTGAGGAAGCTTTCAATTTGCTCTGTTTTCCACATACGTTTTCGAACTTATTTCGAGAATGCTCTTCATGATATTAGCCTCCAATGTGCTGCTCATTATATGTGGGGCAGTATCATTCCTGAGCTTCTCGCGCAGAAATTTAACGACTCCATCTTCCGTAGCCTGTATAAACACAAAAGTTACTGCTCTACCCAATATCCCCTCAACATCGCTCCGCACATGTGGTCTTCCGGTCACAAACATGCGAGTATCCTGCGACCCCTGTAGAATCTGCCCTAGTGATTGAAGAACCACCGTCTGGTGCTCTGGCACACATTCGTCGATGGCGTCAACACATATAAATGTGCGCTTTGTGGCTGTAATTGCCTGGAACATCCTCAGGATCCCTGAAACTTGTAGACATCTACTTGTACCCCCAATAAACCTTTTCTGCTTTTGGAAATCCCGGACAACCACTTCAGGGATTTCTCCCAATCCACTAACAAGCTGTCTCAGCAGGGAGCCCAGCATATTTACTGGCGACTGTTCACTCCTGGCAGCATAATCGAAGTAAAAACAAACAACCGCAGTATCTTCCTCTGCCTCGTCGCATAAGCTGTCTATAACTAGGGACCTATCACCGCAACTTGTCAGCAACACCATTCTTTGATTCTCCGTAAAGTTACATCCTTACACCAGATAGCTCTTTCCCGCTCCCGGATCGCCGTCGCAAAATAAGGTCGCATGATTGGATCCATCATCCCTGCTACCCTTATGCCAGTGTCTGAATTCCTTACTTTCCAGCAGCCAGCTCGCTATACTGTTCACCCGCTGGGCTCCAATATCTCGATGCCGGACCCATGACTCTAATGGAGACAGCCATGTAAGTATTTTAGATTCATCGTTAGGGGTAGTGCGGTTAAAGCTATTTGCGATGACCATGGGGGTATTGTTATTGCTGAGAGCAGACATATCTCGTCTTTCGCCGCTTTGAATGTTGTGGATCAATTTGGAGCGCCTCAGCGCTGTTACTTGAATTGGGAAAAGTGGGGTTGATGTTACAAGTATGATACCGTAGACTACTCGTACAGGATTAGTCTACCCCTTAATACTGACAACTGCCCACTAACTTACTGGATCCGAGATTGGTGACACAAAACTCCACCACTGCTTTTTTCAACGACAATGACGAAAAACACCACAAAATCGACGATGTTCAACACCCGCGAATGGTGTACAATGATCGAGTGTTTGAACGGCGAATGACCTATAATCACCGGAAGGCGGAAAGGCTACCGCGATCAACTAGTAAAACGTAACGTAAATCGAAATGGTTCGTCAACTTTCTAAAGTTAAGCACACTGAAGCTCTCAAGTCAGAAGTGGGGTTGGGGTGATCTCTTGTCTCAATTCTCGTCGCACTTTAACTACGGGCAAACTGGTGTCCTTAAATACATGAATCTGGAAACTCTTGCGTTCCTTCTCCTTCCGACCTCATCATCGCTTTGCCTTTGATAACAGTAATCGCATCTCACCTCCCCTAACACCATCATTTCCATCCTCTTCACTTCTCTTCATTTCCCTTCATTTCCCTTCCCCTCTCTTCCCTTCTCTTCACTGAAACCTCTCTTCTCTTCTCAATGCTACTACTCCTCTTTCGGACTTAGGGGGCATTCTTCTTTGCTCTTTATGCGGGAAATAAGGATCTCCGGATATGAGTTGCGGGCACCTGATACTGCTTGGTGATGCTAATATACGGAGCGCCGGTGATCCACAATAAAAGAGCGTATGGAGAGCACTCTCAAAAATGGTGAGATGGCGATGCTCGGGAATTGAAAACGAAGCGATGCTTAGTCAGGTTGAAGAAACACTGATCGCGATTTAAAAGGTGGGTGGAGGTTCTCTATTCAACCTGACACCGTTTGCTCAACAACTTGCTCGCTCGCGCGACTAACAGGAAAACGGCAAAAAACAAGCGTATAAGCAAAGCACGATCAAGTATCCTCCAGCTTCCGCCGATCACCACACACGTCCCCTCACTTCTACGCGTATCTCCTTTCCTCAGCGTATGCTCATGCTAACAAGAAAACTAGGCTCCATAACGACTACGGCTCATAGCCTCCGCTCAGTTCCTACTGCTCCGCTCCCACTCCTCGGCACAGCCTCTTTGACCCGTGTGGTCGTGCTGCCTCCGTTCGCTCCCTTGGCTGCAATATGGAGAGAGAATGAACAAATGACAACGGCGAAGGATAACCCTTTATGCGATCGGGCAAAGGGCAACCGGCAAAGATGAACGGGCGGTGGAGGTAATGCAGTATGGCGAGCTGGCCTAGAAACATCTGTTTCTAATGCTCCCATTTTCAGCCTATGCGCTATTCCAAACCGAATGGCCGGAATTTATATGCGGGCAAACGAGCGAGCGAAGACGAATGGCCAACGGCGGACAAAACGGGCAATTTTGATATCGAACGGGTTCGGAGCATGCTGGACAGGTTTTGAGCATGCCGGGCAGTATCGGCAGCGGATTTCAGCGATTTCCAACATGGTTTGGCTGAGAGTTGGGAGCTGATTCGAATCCAGCAACCTTATGTTAAACCATACCACACCCACCATTTGTTTGGCATATTTCGGAGCAATACGAACTTGAAAAGCCGATACCGGATGTATCGCTCAAATCTTCCTCAACACCCGGCGGTGAAGCTACAGGTCACCACTCAAAAACTATGTGCTACCTAAGATGACGTTCCCAGAAGTTGTCCAAAGGAACCCAGGCCAAGTCTCCTGGTATCAGGGAAACCAAAAGCACGAACACACTTTCCGATACGGACATAAGCGGTGTATAGGCTACAGCACCATCCCGAGCGTGCAAGTTCGATGATAGCGGGGGTGCGAGGGGTTGGTTACAAAGAAATCGGACGCCCGCATCTGGGCTCCCACCTGCTACGGGCGAGGTGATGGATGGGATGGCAGGCGGCTAGTAAACTAAGCTTAGCCTAACCATTGAGGGTAGGAGCCCATAATCGAAAAAACTAATCTCTAATGAGATACCTAACTCCCGAAACGGAATACCCTCGTCTATCCTAGTTAGCCGTAAACACCATTATTACAACTCATCAGTTATTTCGGGCGCATCAGTAGCATCCCCAGCGAGAGGCGAGCCGCTCATCTAAGCCTGTCGCAACCTGTTAACTTTTATCATACATACCGTTTTTATTGCCCGTTCATCCCCCATGCCGTTAATTTCGGTGTCTTATAATTCACCGAAACCCAAGCGAACCCCCTCCCCAAGATCCAAACTACCCTCCCGATACCTTCGAGGGGGGGCCCTTCCTGTTCTCCTTCAGTTAATCTGGGTTTCTTCCGGAATTCGGTGGCTTACATCCGAGTTACCCAACAAACCCTACTTTACAAATCTTGCAACCCTTGATGTCCCTCCCGGGGGAGTTATTTCCATCATACGGCTATGCACTTGGGAACAACAATCGGAGCCAACGGAATTAGAGAGCATCTTCAATAGTAGGTGGAAAAGTGACGAAAAATGTGTAAATTACAACAACCTGCCCGGAACACTAACTCTACCGGTAGTTCCAGAATAATGCACTCATATGATATCACTTGGTATTATCCTAGGAGTTATGCATTGCAGCAGGTTACGGGATTTTGTTTTTGTTTTGTTTCCTTTGTTTGAGTTTTCGCTTTGGGAGTTTTGATTGTCATAGGATACCTCCTAAATACATTAGTTTGTGCCTTAGGAAGTGATTGCTTTATGTTTGCATGTAACTATAACAATACCACGGCTTTGACAAAGAAAAATAAAAATGCATCGCGACTGGGCCCCCCCGGTCATCAAGCCATCGAAGATACTCTAATATTGGCAAAATTTGATAAATATAGTATATCCAGGACATGACCATAATTGGTATTATTACATTGGAACTGTCATAGCCATTAAGAAAGCTATCATTGTACCAAAGCGTGCAGGCGGTATCAAGCGGGTTATTATATCCTAAAGAATCAGAGCTATGGAGAAACTTTGTGCTGAAACTAGGTTATTGGGGCTTTTCTGTTTCTCATCTTTGCTCTTCATGATGCTGTGGGGTATGGGTTTATGAGGTACAGTATGGTACTGTGGCGTTCGGTGCCACAATGAGATTCCAGAGCACTGGAGAAGGATGTCTGGGCCTTTTAGTCGATTCCCGCTACGTTGTTTTGTAGCTAATGTTGCGGCAAGGTGGCTTGTTTGTAAATAAGGTGCTTGTGTGATTGTCGATTGGCTGCATGGTTAACGGTATTCAAAAACTCGCACAACGGCCCGCCAAAGCGGTGGTGTAAACTGACCATCGCGGCCAAGTACAAGGTATGGAAAGAAGTTATGGAACAGTTATTTGAGGTTAACCAGCCAAATTCATCCTTGTCTGTTCCGCTTAATTAGTTCCTACCCTTGTACCAGCAGTCAAGCCCATACCGGTAAGCAACTCTGGCCCCTACCCACGCAGGATCAACTATGGAAAAGTAGGAAGAGGTCTAGTAGAACGGTTGGTCGATGGCACCGGGGCATCACTCACTATTTGCAGTTTAATACTGACGCTGATACCATACAACGTTCAACCGTCAACGTCGCTCCAGGTCCCCGTGTATGATATTTGCTGAACAGCTTAAGAACCTACTCGGATAACTTGTTGCAACCGATCCATGGATTAGAGGCATTCGGCCCAGGGACCGAAAAGGCGTTTTTCGGGTGCCAAGTCTCAGGTTGGTCTGTTTATGCCGGATTCCGTCGGGAGGAACGCTGCATCTGCAATACCGGTAACGAGTACTTCGTCTCGAACTACTTCCGTTCGAACGTACTTGGCACTATAAAGAGAAGTTTGGAAACTCTTTGATACGTCCAATCATCGGAGTACCGGATCTAAAACCGTTGTCGAATTGTTAGTTTGGGGAAAAGGAGAACGGTATGCATTCAGAGGGCGTAGGAGCTAGTGCCATTGTGATCCTCGTAAGGCGAAGAGTACTGCACCCATCCTCCAGCGATAAAGCATACCATCGTTCTGGGCCACTATATTCTTCAGCCTTTGGTCTATAAGGAGCGGGTAAAAGAATCTTGCCAAGTTGAAGGGAGCAATACTATTATGCCCACCTAAGGAACAAAAATCTTCATTTGGGTCAGCGACTTAGCTACGCACTACTAGTGTGGAGGCCAATCGCCGAATTTGAGGAGTAACATATTTCCTCAGCCGTGACCAAAGGGGCTTTAGAAGCGGACTAAACAACGATATAAGATCGGGTTCGAGAAAAGGGACATGAGAGGAAATAAACAGCTCCAGTCTGGGTTATCGGGGCAGGGGTATATTGTGATATGGGAAGCACATTAAGGCTAGAGGATTGGGGAGGTGAAACCCCCGACCCGCGGTAGACATTGATCATACCAAGATAATCGCCGGGATTGGGGGAGATTGGAAACGTCCTTTGATGGTATTCTTTTCTTCCATTCTTGTTTTGGTGGGCATCGCCTGGCTGTCCGAGGGAAAACGGGGAATCCGGTCGATTTGGGCTTCGAGAGTCAAAACTGCCCGATTTGGTGTGGAACGAGACATGCCAAAAGAAATCCCCCGTTGAGCAGCCGTACAGTGTTCGAGTGTGGTGCCTCTGGCGTAACAACAATCTATAAAATGTGATAGGTCTTGGCTAGGTGCTGCTGCGCCTGGAGAAGGTCATAGATAGGAAAAAAAGTGTTTTCCACGGACCTTAACTTACCCTTCTACGCGGGTCTGCAGCAGCCTGTTGATTTGAGAGAGCGGGCGGGATCTGCTGAAATAGCCACAAGGTGATACAGTACTTGTTCACTAGTAGGTCAGGTTGAGTTGCCAATGAACACTTGGACTGACTTTAAGTCCCAATACTCTCTCTACACTCTACTTGAGCCGCAAATGAAATAAGGCTGCGTCCTGATAGCAATATATTTGGCCAATGGGCCGCCCGATCTAGCGCATTCTACTCCCAACAGCGGGGGGAGCTTTCGCTACCGAGTACGGCAGTTTCTGTCTCGGGTTCTCGGCCCAGTTCCCGGCAATGTCGTTTATTGGATCGCGGAGCTACCACGCCAAGACCGTTGAGGACATGAAATGCGGTACGATCATGGCACGGTACCGTGCAGTACAAGTACTGTACAAGTACTACCTTCACCAGACATGTGGTAGACTGGTAGGAGCTTAACCTATAGTTAAAAAGGTGTTAGGCCCACCAGAGTCTTTCCACTCGAACACTTGACGGAAACGTTGTCCAGCCCAGTGCTGAATTCCTCTGCAGTGATCCACCTTTAGAGTCGCTGGTAGCGAGAATATGTGCTATGAGGCGTTGCCTCCCTATCGGTATCATATAAGTACTGGTACGGTTAATTCCGGCAACCCCACAATACCATATCATAAATTTACCCCCGTTCCACCACCTTACACAGCCGCTACAAGAAGGGGTTAGTAACTATCTTCTTATCTTCAAGTGCAGTCTTACGGTACTTTCCTTGAGGTCAGGTCTTATCACTCGACAATATCCCAGTACTCGAGTACCGTACCCATGCATCTCAGCCTGGCCGCTCCCAGGTCCTCAACTCCTCCAATATGCCCAAATCAATTTTTATATCGCAAACCTCACGGTGCATCCTTGGCCAGCCCCAGCCTTGTAAGGGCCTTGAATTGTTTAACCGTGCGCTACATGGTCAATATTTTCTTCCTTATGAAGTAAGCGAAGAGCCTAGCAAAAACACATCCCCATTCTCCTCTCCGATACCGAAAAAAAGGTCGCTGGAAATACCAAGGGAGATGCACATGTGGCAATTTTTCGAGTTTCTACTATGTGTCTACGACATGAGAGGGACTACGGCAAACTTCCTTCATTAGCAACTAAACCGATAGGGGATAGAGGATCTATAGGTAATTGCATGTAGTGAAGAAGCGAGGCGCTACCCCAGTCCGAATAGAGTATCAGAAGTACGTATCAAACGAATAATTAATATGACCTATGAAACACATGCCAGGGAAAATACATCGACTGTATAGCCTCCTACGATAACGATACAGGCGAAGGCTTAGCTCTCAAGTTTCTTATCTAAGTTATGGACCAACGAAAAATGGGGGATGTAGTCGACGAGGAAACCACAAACCCTAGCCTTCACCTTAAATGCGAAGGGTACCGTAATAGCCTAAAAGTCTTAAACATAATATATTACCAGGCACGTGCCATCATAAAAAAACAAATAGGCCGGAGCCCGTCCTTGGTAAGCGAGGGTCAACGGGATCTGACGAGCAGATCTTGGTAGCCCTAGGTTGCCAAGGATGGCCGGCTCTAAATGGGGAGGCTGTGGGAGTGGGATCAAAGTGTGCCTTGCACGGCTGAGCGCGGGGAACGATGGACTTGGCGGTTAGTGGAGGCGCAAGCTAAAGAAGCTGGATATGATATGTACAGTATCTCGCTAAAACAGCGCCTCTGGAGACTAAAAGAAACTTCACCAGCTGTAGTGCATGAACAGAATGCAAAAAAATCGCCCTGCGGTGACAGAAACTTAGCAGAGGCTCTAAAGTTAAGAGAGCAAACGGACCGTCCGCAGCCACCCTACAAACCCCACAATCATCCACAGGTGTAGTGAAAACCAATACTCGAAACGAATGCCGAAAGGCATAGTACAGTACAAAACATGCCAATACCACCGCAGACCCGAATACATAAGGGTAAAAAAATAGTCACCCATAACCCCATGCCCTATACCCACACGCTGGGTAGCTACCTCCCGCTCACACTTGAGAAGAGAGAAAATTAAAAAATCAAAAAAGGGAATTGCAAAGCATGTCCGGTTGGCAGAAAGTGAAGGATAAGTCTAGTGGGTAAAGGAAAGATGAGTGAAAGGGGGTATTTTTTCCCGAAGAGAAGCCAGTCGGCAAGATTGCTAAAGGAAAGGTGTGGATGAATGGTGGCGAATAATGTTCTTTTCTTGTTCCCTTTCTTCTTCTCTTTTCTCCCCTGCTATGGCAATATCATCCCCTTGCCGTTTCCACCCTAATGTCAATCTCCCTGGCCACCCTCTTAACGGCAATGTCACAAGGCACGCTCAGCCTCCATAGGCCTGGCTGTGCTCCTTGAGTTTGGTCGGACTATCACCTTCTCCTAGAGTTCAATTACAGGTTGTTGAGGGTTTGGTAGCGTTTGGGGGAAGCTGCGATTTCCTCCTTTGACGACCCCGGTAGAGCAGCGTCGCTCACAGAATGATGAGTGTCAGGGAAACTACAGCAACTACACTACCGGCTATCCTCCCAACGTTGGATCTCGATCCCGTTCCCCCCGACTGAGGAACCCCGGGCCAGTCCTCGCGGTCCACTTTGAGCCTCATTATGGTTTCAAGTTCTGGATGGCTCCAGCCGTTGGCTGGCTCCTCTATGGTCGAGTGTCCAACTTTGCTGATGGGCGATTAGTGTTCCTTCTTGGCAACTACTTGGTATGTTATATAGAGTTGGATAGCTTACGTGCCACCAATTACCTTAACAACCTCCACGGGGACCATGTATGCTCCCTCCCACGGTGTAAACTTGTCTGTCCACGTCAGTGTGTT